AACCAAAATAGAGTCTAGTTGATAATAATAAATTAATTATAGGAGACTTTAACACTCCACTCTCAGCAATAGACAGATCAACTAAGCAGAAAATCAACAAAGAAACAAGAGTTTTGAATGACACACTGTACCAGGTGGACCTCATAGATATATACAGACTTCCATCCCAAAACAACAGAATACTCATTCTTCTCAAACTCGCATGAAACCCTCTCCAGAATAGAACACATACTGGGTAACAAATCAGGTCTCAACTGATACCAAAAGATTGAGATTATTCCCTGTATATTCTCAGACCACAATGCTGTGAAACAGGAACTCAATCTCAAAAAGAAAAAAAAAAAGTATGGAAGAAATTCAAACACTTGGAAACTAAAGACCATCCTGCTCAAGAATGTTTGGGTCAATCAAGAAATCAAAGAAGAACTTAATTCATGGAAACCAATGAGAATGAAGACACTTCAATCTAAAACCTATGGGATATGGCAAAGGTGGTCCTAAGGGGGAAACACATAGCCATCTAAGCCTTACTCAAAAAAATAGAAAAATCCCAAATACACAAAATAAGAAACCTTAAAGAACTGGAGAATCAACAACAAATTAAACCTAACCCATGTATGAGAAGGGAAATAATTAAGATTAGAACAGAGATCAATGAATTAGAAACCAGAAATACAGTAGAACACGTTTATGAAACTAGAAGCTTGTTCTTTGAAAGAATTAATAAGATCAATAAACCACTGGCCAGACTTATCCAAAAGAAAAGATAAAGGGCCCAAATTAATAAAATCATGAGTGAAAGGGGAGAAATCATGACTAACACTAAGGAAATAGAAATAATCATGAGAAATTATTATCAACAGCTATATGCCAATAAGTTAAGCAACCTAGAAGACATGGATGCATTCCTGGAAACCTATAAACTTCCAAGACTGAAGCAGGAAGAAATTGACAACCTGAATAGACCAATAACTAGCAACTAGATTGAAGCAGTGATCAAAAACCTCCCAGAAAAAACAAGAGTCCACGTCCTAATGGATTCCCTGGAGAATTCTACCAAACATTCAAAGAAGAAATAATACCTATTCTCCTGAAACTGTTCCAAAAAATAGAAACAGAAGGAAAAAATGTTCATCATCACTAGTCATCAGGGAGATTCAAATTAAAACCACATTGAGATATCACCTTACACCAGTTAGAATGGCCAAAATTAGCAAGACAGGAAACAATATGTGTTGGAGAGGATGTGGAGAAAGGGGAACCCTCTTACACTGTTGGTGGGAATGCAAGTTGGTGCAGCCACTTTGGAGAACAGTGTGGAGATTCCTCAAGAAATTAAAAATAGAACTTCCCTATGACCCTGCAATTGCACTCCTGGGTATTTACCCCAAAGATACAGATGTAGTGAAAAGAAGGGCCATCTGTACCCCAGTGTTTATAAGCAGCAATGGCCACGGTTGCCAAACTGTGGAAAGTATCAAGATGCCCTTCAACGGACAGATGGATAAGGAAGATGTGGTCCATATACACTATGGAGTATTATGCCTCCATCAGAAAGGATGAATACCCAACTTTTGTAGCAACATGGACGGGACTGGAAGAGATTATGCTGAGTGAAATAAGTCAAGCAGAGAGAGTCAATTATCATATGGTTTCACTTATTTGTGGAGCATAACAAATAGCATGGAGGACATGGGGAGTTAGGAGAAGGGAGTTGGGGGAAATTGGAAGGGGAGGTGAACAATGAGAGACTATGGACTCTGAAAAACAATCTGAAGGGTTTGAAGAGGTGGGGGGTGGGAGGTTGGGGGAACCAGGTGGTGGGTATTAGAGAGAGCATGGATTGCATGGAGCACTGGGTGTGGTACAAAAACAATGAATACTGTTATGCTGAAAATAAATTTAAAAAAATGTTTAAAGAAACAGAAGGAAAACTTCCAGACTCTTTTTATGAAGCCAACATTACCCTGATCCCCAAACCAGGCAAAGACCCCACCAAAAAGGAGAATTTCAGACCAATATCCCTGATGAATATGGATGCCAAGATTCTCAACAAGATCCTAGCTAATAGGATTCAACAGTACATTAAAAAGATTATCCACCATGACCAGGTGGGATTTATCCCTGTGATGGAAGGGTGGTTCAACATTCATAAATCAATCAATGTGATAGAACACATAAATAGAAGAGACAAGAACCACATGGTCCTCTCAATTGATGCAGAAAAAGCATTTCACAAAATACAGTATCCTTTCCTGATTAAATCACTTCAGAGGGATAAAGGGAACATTCCTCAACTTCATAAAATCCATCTATGAAAAGCCCACCATGAATATCATTCTCATTAGGGAAAAGCTGAGAGACTTCCCACTGAGATCAGGAACAGGACAAGGATGCCCTCTCTCGCTGCTGTTATTTAACATAGTACTAGAAGTCCTAGCAACAGCAATCAGACACAAAAAGGAACAAAATGTAATCAAATTGGCAAAGAAGAAGTCAAACTCTCTTCACAGGTGACATGACACTCTGTGAAAAACCCAAAGTCTCCACCCCCAATTTACTAAAACTCATACAGCAATTCAGTAATGTGACAGGATACAAAATCAATGCACAGAAGTCAGTTGCTTTCTTTTACGCTAACAATGAAACTGCAGAAGGAGAAATTAGGGAATTGATTCCATTTACAATAGCACCAAAAACTATTAGATACCTTGGAATAAACCTAACCAAAGAGATAAAGGATCTATACTCGGGAACTACAAAACCCTCATTAAAGAAATTGAAGAGGACACAAAAAGTTGGAAAGACATTCCATTTTCATGGATCAGAAGAATAAACAATGTTAAAATGACGATGCTGGCCAGAGTAATCTATACTTTCAAGCCATGCTGATCAAAATCCCATCGGCATTTTTCAATATCCTGGAACAAACGATACTAAAATATGTATGGAACCAGAAAACACCCAAAATCGCCAAGGAAATGTTGAAATAGAAAAACAAAGCTGGGAACATCACGTTGCCTGATTTCAAGCTACGTACAAAGCTGTGATCACTAAGACAGCATGGTATGGGCACAAAACAAGACACAAAAACCAATGAAACAGAATAGAGATCCCAGATATGGACCTTCAACTCTATGGTCAACTAATTTTTGACAAAGCAGGAAAAAATATTCAATAGAAAAAAAAAATCCTTTAATTCTTTTACTGATTATATACATTTTTAGAAAAGAGACTACAAGAATTTTTAGAATTAAAATGTTATTTAACAAAACCTTTCTTGTTTTTCAATAATAATTAAAGTACAGCTTGAAAACATCAAAAGGATATATTATTGCCAGGCACAGAATGTCTTTTATGTTTGTTATCATTTTTAGTGTGATAATGTAATTTTAACTTTCTGAAAGCTATTCTTATGGTAATTACATATATAGAAACTCAAACATGAAAAAAATTGAGTAATATAGCCACCATCCAAAGGGGTAAGTAGTATAGGAGGGTGCCTATTTTCATAGGTCATAACTAATATTCACAATATCTTTTTAAGGACCTGATAAATTTTCAAAACACAATGTTAACTAAATGGGTTAAGTGATAAAGGACAGGTGTTTAATAGTTTTTGGCAATTAAAAATATTCTTATAGATTACTTAAGGACTTTCAGTATTGCTTACAATAAGTTAACCAAATAAGGAGAATTAAAAAACAGATATGCAAATATCAGTTAAAATGTATATTTATATATTAAATTGCAAGTATTCCTATTTCTGTTTATAAATATGTACATGGGTCCTTGGGTGGTGTAGTCAGTAAAGGGTTGGATCTTGCTTTTGGTTCAGATCATGAACTGGGGGTCCTGGGATCAAGCCCCACTTCCAGTTCTGAGCTCAATAGGCAGTCGGCTTAGAATTCTCTTTCTTCTACCTTTGTCAGCTCCATGCATTGTCTCTCTGTCTCTCTCTCAAATAAATTAATAAATCTTTAAAAATTATAAATATGTAGAGAAAAATCAAAGTAAAAGTAAATGATGGGAGCCTTGTGCTGTCATTTTTACAGTTCATTTTTCTCAAATTGCCTTTAAGGAAGTACATTTCTTGTATGTGCTATTATGTACCAGCTCTGTGTTTTTGCCTCAGTCACTTCTCTTTGTCACTACCCTCATTTGGGAAATGGAAATTAATCATGGCAGCTCTCTCATGAGGCTGCAGAGAGTAATAAATAAAATAATGCAAGAAAACATTTAGAACACTGCCTGACACATTACAAGTCCACAACAGACATTGGATGAATATTAACTGTAAAGCTCATCCTTACTTATGTGACATAACATTCCTTTGCAAATGATCCTGCCTATGACATCATGCTCACAAGACTGTTGCAAGCCCCAGGGCAAGTAGAAGCTGGTTTCCAGAGACTGCTCTGACCCATGTATCCCCAGCAATTGTAGCCTAGTCCCTTCTCGGAGGCACCCAGATGATAAATGAAATTGCATTTCTTTCTCTGAGTCCTAATCTGCCCGGTGACATCTCAGTTAATTTTAAAAATGCTTATGCACAACTCACATTCAACAACATCTATGAGATAGTTCACTGCCTGTTGTTCTGTTGTGCTGTGTTAAAAAAGAGTTAAGGTCAGATTTCCCATCCCAGTCCCAGATCAACAGCAAGTCAGAGACAGACAGACATGGGGCTGAGCACAGCAGGCACATCCTCATGTTTCTGAGCAATGTTTCTGCAGTATAGAATCCCGGGGGGATGGCTGATGAGTGTGAGAATCATCCTGTCCTACCCCAGACAGACACATTCATACTAGAAATTTCCTAGCAGATACGGAATACTCTCACCCCATCTGCCCAGCAATGATGGGACACAGGAAGCCCCAGACTGCTCAGATCTGTGACTGATCATGAACAACATCAGGGAACTATCTAAGCCACCACTTCTTCTGAGAAACCCAAACGAGCCCCGCCCTCCTGCCACTGACATGTCAAGTCCTGCCAACAGGGACCTCACTTCTTACCTTGTCACTGGGGAGCCAGCCAGGCCAACGGGATGCCACTTCTGGAAGCAGTCATCTTCTCCTGTCTCTGGGCCTGTGAGTTGTCCCCCAGGCACTTCAGTCTACAGGAGAAATTCAAGAAATTCTTTATTGTTGCCTTTTTCTGTATCATTTGTTCATGGGAATTTCTCTGCTTTGCGTTGCAGTTGGCCTCGGGCAGGTGAAGTTGGAGCAACCTGAAATATCAATTTCCAGAGCAAGATATAAGAGTGCCCACATATTATGCAAGGTGTCCACTAAGGACTTTACCAATGCAGTCATACACTGGTACCGGCAGAAACCACATCAGGAGATAGAACATCTAACATATGTCTTGTCAAGCTATACTCAAGTTTCTTTAGGTGGGAAGAAAAACAAACTTGAAGCAACTAAAAATGCTATTACTTCTACTTCAACCTTGAAGGTAAATTTCTTAGAGCAAGAAGATGAGGCCATGTACTACTGTGCCTGCTGGGATTGGATCCACAGCATCAGAGTTGCTAAAAAATGCTACACAAGAAACATCTTCAGGTCTGACCTACCCACATCCTTCTCAATATGGCAACCACAGAGGTTGCACAGCTGGGTGCCCAGCCTGAGCTCTCTCTCTGCTATATTTCCTGAACTCTGCAGGAAGACATTTTAGATTCTACTCATACAATGAGCTCCACATGATATCAGCAGCACTGGTACAAACATAAACATTTTGATGCTATTTCCCATGAAATTCTGTTGTCTGGGAACTCTGAAAATACAGGATTGGTGGTTCAGGGAAAAATCCATTTATCTGTTAATTCACCATAGAGAAAGAGATTTTGAGTACTTGAATGGTTCAGAATGAATCCAGGAAGAGGTATACATTTTACATAAAGATTTCCTGTTATTACTACTTTCTGATTTTATTCATTTATTACAGTTCTTCAGAGGTGCAATGATCTGTTGAATGTAAATATTGCCTTCTATTTGTATCTGAGGCCATCCTGAAGGGATCTGACCATTAATTCCTGAAGTAAACAATCAGGTATTTGTTGGTATAGGAGAGACCAAGGTTTAAACCCTGTATTCTAGATGTAGAAGCAGAAACTCACTCCGCATTCAGGGATCAATTCTGAGAGAAAACCAGCACATTGAGTGTCTCCAACATGGTGGATATGCCTCTGACTTTGTTCTCTAGGGTTCTACAAAGAAAACTAAGGATCTGAGGACCAAATGGTTAAAAAGAAAGATAATACACCCTGAATACATCTCTAAAGAAAAAAAAAGTCACTGTCCCTCACAAACCAATAAAACAAAAAATCATTATTGAGAATTGAATTCTGTGATTAGTAACTGGATGGTTGTGAGTTTATAAGAAATAGGGAAACATGCAGTATAAAAATTCCACTACCTTTCTTGCTTCAGCAGCACATATACTAAAACTGGAATGATACAGAGAAGATTAGCATGGCCCCTGTGCAAGGATGGCATGTGAATTCATGAAGTGTTCCATATTTTTCTAAAAAATATATAATAATTCCACTCCCGCATCTTTAGAATCCACTTTCAAAGGATGAGGAAAAACCTTTACTTCGCAAACCTTGTTCCTTTGGTAACATGGATATCTGATCACATAATTACCATGCCTGCATTTCATACTTGGGTCCCGAGATCATGACAACATAGTCATTCTTCTTCTCTTTCTAAGAATCAGGTGGCACTACCAAGTACAGAGGTTCTATAGAAGCAGAATGAAGTCCTCCCACAGCAGTGTCATCCCCTTCTCAGAGACAAACACATGATCTGATGTCCTACACCCTGTCCATTATGACTCCTATTTGTGGTGGATCCCGGGAGGAGAACACTGAATGAATGGTTTCAACATCGCCTTACCTTTCACCTAATAAGTCTACAGAAGCAAAGGTAAAAAGACCACTTCTTCTTGTGATGTGAATGAAAGATGTGAATGAAAAGAGGGAATAAGGGGCGCTGGGTGGCTCAATCATTAAGCATCTGCCTTTGGCTCAGGTCATAATCCCAGGGTCCTGGGATCGAACCTCACATCAGGCTCCCTGCTCAGGAGGAAGCCTGCTGCTCCCTCTCTCACTCCTGTTTGTGTTCCCTCTCTCACTGTGTCTCTTTCTGTGAAATAAATAAATAAAATCTTAAAAAAAAAAAAGAAGCACTGATACGCTTCTCACAGTATCAGTGCTAAATACAGATTATTTCATTTAATCCTAAAAAGAACAATGCAGACCTTGATTAACACAGTCACATGGCAGTAAATCTCAGGAGATGGAACCACCCTTACAAAACAACCATGACACACTACAGTGAGAGCAGTAGGGCATAGGGTACCTCATCTATGAGGCTTTGAAGTGAGAGGATACCATGTAGCTCTTAAAAACATACTTTTTGAAGAATTATAAGTAAAATTTACAACTTTACTGAAGGTCAAACCAATTCTCCCCTCACGCGGACCATGGCAGGCATTACTAAGGTGTGCATATTAACCTCCAGAGGCACCCAGAGCATGGAGCCTCAAGAAAGGATCTGATCAAGATGGAGGGCCAAAAGTAGAGTCAGTATTTTCAGCACCCCTGCCATCAATATTTTTGGGTTTTTACATTTAATAAAGATTGTTTGTATAATAATTTAAAATGTAACTATATAAAAATAATAAAATAAAACTGTCTGTATGACATTTCAAATGGTTATATATTTATATTTTCCATTCTATGGTATTACTGCTTACACCCCCAGAAAAAAGAATAACTAGAAAACTATGATTAAATACAATGACAAGATTGGTTACCATGGAATAAGAGGGCCACAAACTATGCCCAAGTCCAGCAAACCCCCAGTTTAGTAAATAAGGTTTTACTGAAACACAGCCTGGACCATATGCTTACAAATTGTAGAAAGCTGCCCTTGCATTACAATGGCAGAGCCCAATATTTACAATAGAGGCACACAAACCTTAAACTATTGATCATTTCGCCCTCTACAGAAGATATTTGTCAATCACCTCCCTAGAATGATATACTATGGAGTGATATTTATTTTTATTTTATCTTTCCTTCTGTTTCAGGGTTTCCTCAATGACCCTTTGTTACATATCCACTCTCCCCATATTAACTATCTCACTCTGGATAAATTTCTTGTCATATCTTTGATTCATTTTCCTCATTTGGAAATGGAAAACATAAACATATTTACCTGGAGGAACCACTGAGAGAAGTAACTTAGAGAATACATATAAAGTTCTTCCACATGCTTGGAGCAGGCCTAATGTTCATTATATTGAGGCACTGAATTTCTTATATGGGTTATTATGGCATATTTGACCATAATATAACAAAATATAAAACCAAAACCAAAACTTATTATTTTCTCTACTTCTTAATTTTAAATAATAGAATAAGTGAAAATAGAAAACTTTTCCTCTCAGATTTTCTAACAGAAAACCTGCTGCTGACATTCCTGGAATACAACCATGCCTATTCATTTCCTAACTGTCCGTGATGGCTTTTGTGCTACAGTGGCTGAGGTGATGAATTAGAAGAGAGACCTTAGGGCCAAACAGCCTAAGTAAAGCATTTGTTATCTGACTCTGAACTGAAAAATGTTGGCAGCTCCTTCCATGCGAAAAAAAAAAAAAAAAGAGTAAAGAAATGAGTTTTTAACTACAATTAAAATTCAAGATACAATAAGAAAATATTTTGATAAATTTTATTCTGAAAATGAAAACAAAGCTTGCATGGCAAAAAGCAGCTGAAAATAAATTTAAATTTTTTTTTAAAAATGGGGAAAAGACTTAACAGATACTTAACAAAACAGATGGCAAATAAGCACATGAAGAATTGTTCAGCATCATTAGCCATTAGGGAAATGCAAATTAAAAGCACGACAAGATAACACTGTACAGTTGCTAAAATGATTAAAATTAAAAATACTGACAAAAAAAGCAGCATAAGTTAAATCAAAAGACAAATAACAATCCATGAGGAAATACTTTCAAGTTGTACAGCACATGATGATCAACTATCCTCAAAATAAAAATACATTTTAAAAATGGAAGGAAAATGGCAAAAGACATGAAAATCCAATTCATGAAGAGAAATATAAAAATAGTTCTTGAATATATTCATGTTCAACTTCACCTTTAATAAGGTAAATATCAATTAAAATGACATTGAGATATCATTTATCATTCATGAGACTGAATAAAAGCAATACACTCTGTTGGGGAAGCTGTGGGAGACACTCTGACACATTGCTGGAAGGATGCAAAATACAGCCCTTTCATGGAGGAATTTGGAAATATCTAACAAAATTTCACATGCATTTAACTGTAACCTAGCAAAAATACTTTTAGAAATTTACTCTGAAAGTAGAATTTCAACACTATAAACATATGCACAAAAGTATTGCACAAAAGTATTCATTGGGTAACTGCAAAATGTTAGAAATGATATAAATATCGAAATATAGTGAGTTTAGTTGGATAAATGATAGCACATACACCTAGTAGAGGAGTATACACTGCTATATAGAATGTGAGATGTAAATCCATTGTAATACATTTTTCTGGCAAATCACAATTGGAAGGTAAAATTTAAAAAATATTATCATTTATAATAGTCACACTAACAATATCAAGAGAACCTCTATAATATGTAGAGGTTAAATTTAACCAAAAATGGGAAGGATTTGTATGCTAAATCAATAAAACTTTACTGACAGAAGTAGAAGAAGAAGTAAATAAATCTAGAGATATACCATGTTCACAGATTGGAAGACTCAACACTGATAAATACGTTCAATGTAATCCCTACTAAAATCCCAGGAGAACTTCTCATACAAACTAATAAACTGATTGCAATATTTATATGGGAAGATAAAGAATAGTGCATTGCAAAATAGTTTTGAAAATAATTTAAGCATTTACTATGAACCTACAGTGGTCAAGACAGTGGGGTATTGGTGAAAACATAGATACATAGATAAGAGGGAGAGAATCCAGAAATAAGGCAACACATAAGTGGTTAACTAATTTCTAACAAAGATGCCAGGGAAATCCATTGGACAAAGAATGGACTTCTCTACAACTGGTTATGAAACAACTTTTCATCTATGTAAAAAAAAATAATAAACCACAATCCATATCAAATATCACATACACTAACTAAAAACAGATTCTAGGACAAAATGTAAACACTAAAGCAATAACACTTCTAGATATTGTTGTGAACACATTGTGAAAATATGTCACAAAAATATTTGTGACCTTGGGTTAGCCAAAGGTTTCTCATATAGAACACAAAAAGTGAGAATAATAAAAGAAATGTTTGACAACTTGCACTTCATCAAAATTAACATTTCTGTTCTTCTCATAACTGAAAATGGATGGAAAATAAAAAGTGAATCATATAAATCAAATCAAGACAAATAAAATTAAAAAGCCACAGATTTAAAAAAAAAATTACCCAAATACCTA